GGTGCCAAGAAAGTGAGCCTGCCTTGATCTCTGTAATTCGCGCTCTCGGCTACGCCGCGCGCTTGTACTCCAACATGAGCCTGCTCGTGGGCTACGAACGTTCAAGCTTGATGAATCCGCGCAAAGTTACAGCAGTGACCAATTTCACCAAAAAGTTCTGACCAGTAAAGGTAAACAACTCCACAAATGTAATGTTCTTGCATCAGCTTGTTTATTTAACAATGAACTACAAATCAATCCCTTTACAGAGCCTTTCCTCCATTACTGCTGGCCAGTAAAACGGAGGGCTCTGGAACAAAATTAATCACTAATACATGGTGACTGAAATAAGCTGTGCATGGGCGACATGTTGTCAGATTACTACTCCTCGCATTCACTTGGAGGAACAAACCTTTCAGGATCCACGCCAAGCTCCACATCGAAAAAGCTGAAAGAAATTGCAGAATACTTCAACGTCTGCTATTAAGCTTCACAAAGCATTCCTTTTTATCAAATTCTACCAGTAACCTATTTTTGCAATCCAGATTGAAATGAATTGTCAGAGCTCCAAACCTTACACTTCAGGGCATTTTACCCACAACAATATATTTCACTAGTGAAGCAGGCGAGTACAGGGAGGGTTTTATAGGGAGGACAAAAGTTCCTTCTCCCAACTTTTCCACGGTTTATATATGAGATTTATTTCATATTTTCGTTCACACGAATTCGAAAAAAAAGGTTTTCACTCTATTTTGGCAAATTCCGGTATTATATACCTGGAAAACGATTAACTTTGAAGTGGCTTCAAATCTTTCCGTTCAATTTTATCACCTTTTCTCAAAAGGAATTTGAAATTGTTTCATACATGAAAAGACTGCAAAAGATAAGCGCGCACACCTTCAATTATCGTTGTTTGCGGTTTCCTAAAATGCTCCGTTTCCTACAAATACCGGCACATTTTGCTTAAATACGCGGGAATTTGTTATATTCGCTGTTTTCGCCTGTTGAAAAGGCCAGCATCATAATTTTGTTAACAGGGTTATACGTCATATACTACAGGGGCACGTTGGCAGAAAGTGACATGAACAACATGCGAACCAACCTGGTGTGAATGAAGCCATACTTCTTGGACACCACATTTTCATGAACTGGAACACAACCCGGCTCGGTAACCGTCACATAATAACGATCTGAAATTAAATTATTTACAACGAGATTCGTCATCGCCATTGATCAAATGACACTGACAAACAAAATAATGCTGGCGCGCGCTGCACTTTGGTCTTACCGTCTCCCATTTCTCCCCCAAAAAGAGCCACGTTCACTCCCAGGCCAGGAAGAGCATTTGAACCGATGGTTGCTTCTCCATAAAATGTTGCATTACTCGGTATCTCAAACCTGTGGAAGGGTTCATCCAGGTCTTTCTTGACACACTTTCCAGTCTTGTTAATGCTTAATTCGATCTGGTACATGGTGCGCTGAGGGAGTAAAAATTAAAAAATAATTTAGGAATAATCAATCATAAATAAATTAATAAATCATATCAAGCTTTGACTATTGTTATGGTTTGAATGTGAGCGTCCCAAGGGATGCTTCTATACGCTATGGCGAAATTGCACTAGGCTTAAATCGGATCCCATCGGGAAATTGTCGGTGATGACATTTTATTCCCTACAGTAGTCCACTTGTGAAAACGTAGACGGACCAACTGGGTGCTAGTCAGTAATTGCCAAGGGAAAGAGTATTTATGTCGCGTGGACGGGTTTATGGACGGGTTTAAATTTAAACCTTTGAAATTAAATAAGTTTTAACACAGAATTATTACCAGGTACTCCAAGGTTATCAGCAAAAGTTGTGCCAATTGAGCGGTTTTCATTTGAGCGTTGGAAAATCAAATGGGTTTGTATTTCAACGCTACACGATTGCCTTAAAATACGATTTTCATCCAATCACTTTTTCATCCAATCAAACCAAAACCAATCGTCATCACTCACTCGAATACGTTTTCCCGCGCTGCAGGTCCGCTACATATAGTATGGAGGTTTTGCACGGCAGCCATGTTGCATGGCAGGAACAATGAAAATGTTTTGCGTTAGAAAGAACATTTTTTCCCATAGGAAAACGAATCTATTATTCCTACCATGCAACATGGCTGCCGTGTAATACCTCTCTATATATTTGCTTTGAGATTTGATCGATTAATTGTATTTCTGCGTCCTTTGTCATTGGCCAGAGTGATTATTAAATTTCCTTTCCGTTTTGCGACACTCAATCGGAAAGCGCTCTACTTATCATTGTACCTCTCTATGGAGGAGAATGTACTCGTAGAACTTCTTCTCTTTTTTCTCGTCAATCTCTTCCACTATACTAAGTCTCTCATTATAAGCATCATATGATATCCTTGCAAACACAGCCACATCCTTTGACGGATCAAACTGGAAATAGTAAAATGATAATTATGAGTATATAATATCCATTTTCGGAATTAAAGCGAAACAAGTAACTCCTTATAATCGTTACCCCATGAAATCATTTGTCTATTTAAAAATTACCTAGGGAAAGCTTATCACAGAATTTCTAACCCTTGGCGGAAAAAAAGAGTGGTGGAAGGGATCCTATTATACTCAGAGAAAATGCCTAAATAATAAGTCAAAATTTCCTCAAACGCCCCCCCCCCACCACTCCGACCCTGCCCGGAAGGAATCCCAAACATTTTCGGTAGGGCCGGGTCTGCAGCTTGCTTCTTCCTCTGCTCTATTTCGCACCAGAATGTGCGAGTGATTTTTTTTGTTGCACCAGAACCAAACATCGAACCCGATTTAAGACCCGGACAGACAGCTGTCTTCTGCTCGGCTCTGACGCTCACGAAACACACTGCTCTATGAAGGCCCCCGCATGGTTTCAAGATCTAAGGCTAGCTTATTGCTTTTGTCAAGAGGAATGACTTAATACAGGGCTAGGACTGGGTCTGTTACAATTTCCTCCCTGAACAAGTTTCACACCTATTAGCCCCAAAATAAGTAATATACTATTAAGACGAAAATTATCCGATAGGAAATCGACCAATTTTAGTTTTGAATGGACAAAAATCTTGTACCAGAATACCTTTAAGTATATTACAGTCCCTTTTGCATTTTCTAAAAGCTAAAGATAGAAATAGTTGCCTGAAATAACACCAAAAACAATTGTTCAAGCACAGGTAAAATTACATCATCAGTTTCATTTCACCAGTACGTTCAAGTGTTTTTATATGAACTTCAAAATTTGTTTTCGACATTTGGTGTTGTTGGAAATTTTTTTTTTCTGAGGAGATATTTTAAACAGTCGCACAGAAGTTTGTAATACAATCTAGGTAATCTCGGTACAAAGTTTTTGTCCGCTTGTTACTCGAAGTTGTGGTGGATTCCTCCTTAATGCAATGAGAATAGGGTTGTGATGAGCAAGCAAATTCTCTTATTTATTTTCAACTGACATGGCTCAAAATGGACAAAGACTAGTAAGGAGAACTTATAAATTGACTCTCGGAATCTAACTCACCGTCATTTGGCGTGCATGCCACTCGGCAGGAGTCTCTGAAAATGGACAAATGATTCTTTTGAATTCGTATGAAGACATTTGTGTTTATGGAGGGTCGTACAGGGGGGTCTCTGGCATGGTTAACGAACGGAAAAAGTAGAGGATCACGGATCACAGATATAAAAATTTCGTTTTACCGAATCACGAAAATAAGCAAGTAAAGCCCTGGTCAAACGGACTCGCAAGTAATCGCAAGCAGCCGCAAGTTGAACTTGCGTAGAGAGTTACGTTGGGTGGCTAAACGGACTCGCAAGTTTCCTCGCAGGTACCAGCAAGTCGCAATAAAACCCATTTCAAGGCAGACATATCCTGTATTTCATTGGTGAATAAAAGGTTAATGGACGCCTCTCAACTTGCGTCGACTTTTGTTGGGTGGCCACACGGTGAAAAACTTGCGTCGACTCGCGTGCAAATTTGATCTCGACCAAAGTGAGCGCAAGTCATCGCAAGTCAACGCAAGTGCACGCAAGGCTTGGCCAAACGGAGTCGCAAGTAGACGCAAGTTGAGAACTTGCGTTTACTTGCGAGTCCGTTTGGCCAGGGCTTAAGATACTCATTTTAATGACCTGTTCTTTACACTAGAAACAGTGTTTGAAGAAAGCAGAATAGCGAATGGCTAAGTCAAGGCTCCATATTGCAAATCGCATACCNCTTGACATGATTACCCGTGACCTTGAGTGTCCTTGACATGATGCAGATATGATATGACGTCACAGCCACTGATTTCGAAAATTCACTGTACGCCTTCGGTCAATCAGGAAAGAAATAGTGAGTTCAATGTATAATAAAAGTGGTTATAAGTGTAAGACTGATGTAAGGCACAAGTATGAGCTGAAGTACAAGAGCAAGCATGAACGTCGTACAGGGGGGGGGNCGAAAAAAAAAAGAGGATCACGGATATAAAAATTTCGTTTTCCCGAATCACGAAAATAAGCAAGTACGATACTCTTTTTGATAAGCCGTTCTTATACTAGAAAGAGAGCTTGAACAAAGCAAAATCGTGACGACTCTAACCATTACGAGGACTCTCACGCCTCAAAATTACGGAGAATTGAGTGGTAAAATCACGAATATCGGTTAATAAATAAAGGATATTACACGGTGGCGAGAAGATATCAATTTTATGTTCGAGCGGCAAGAACTATATCTCACGAGTGAACGCTGCGAACGAGTGAGATATTGTTTTTACCACGAGAACATAAAATTCATATCGTCGAGCTAACGTGTAATGTTCTTTTTATTATATAAGGCTGATTTAGTAAGAGAACGGGAACGTCACTTGACGACGGCGCGCGCAGAACAAACACCCAAATATGGTCAAATTAGAACA